CGCGCTGTCTAGCGAGTTGCGGCCCTTGAAGAAGACGCGCCGAGCAGGAGAGGCGCTCTCCGCTCCGCCATTAATGCGAGCATTGGTGGCCGCGGCGACCAGCTTGCAGTCCGAATTCTCCAGATCGGTCGCGCGCGTGGTGCCGGCCCGGAGCGCGGAACGCCCCGTCGACGACGTCCCTCACCAGGGAACCCTTGGGGAGGAAGGCCATCAGATCGTCGTTCCAGTCGACTGGCGGGACCCTGCCCATCGCGATCTCCAGCGCCGCGCCCTCGAGCGCCTCGGTGGCAGTGGGGCAGCAGCGCCAGGCGAAGTGCGGCAGGCCGTCAGGGCCAGGGGCCGATTCCTCGGCGCGGGAGGCAGCACGAGAGAAAGCAAACTTGTCAGGCGGCAGGATCCCCTCTACCGGCAGCTTGGGCGCATGGGTCTGCGCGTGCTTCAGCGACAGCCTCCGCCAGTCGTCCGCTTGCGGCTTGATCTGAAAAATGGGCGCCCAGTGGTCTCGCAGCGCCTCGATCATGTCAGAGTGCCCGTCGAGGGCCCTGTAGCCCGCGTCGTCGGGCATCGTGATGCCCTGCAACTTGAGAGCCCCGCCGAACGGTGACCGCAATGCTGCGCGCTTGTCGAGCTTCCTGCGCGTGGCGCGGATCATCTTGAAAGACGACGCGTCAAAATATTGGGCCTCCCGCTCAGACAACGCAGCCGCCCCAGCCTCAAAGTGCAGCTGCTACTCCTGCGCGAAGTCGCGCGCGAAGGTGGGTGGGTGGGTGGGTGGGTGTTGCGTGGTGGTGGTGGTGGTGGTGGTGGTGGTGGTGGTGGGTGGTGGGTGGTGGGTGGTGGGTGGTGGTGTGTGTGTGTGTGTGTGTGTGTGTGTGTGTGTGTGTGTGTGCGTGCGTGCGTGCGTGCGTGCGTGCGTGTGTGTGTGTGTGTGTATGGGGGGCAGCCAGTTGACCTGAATGGCGGTGATCTCGATGTGCTGCCGCGCAGGCTCACGCGTCTGCAGAAGGCGTCTCCCAAGGATCACATCATCGCGCCCGACGCCAGACCGCCAGACGCCTGCAATTTGCTCTCGCCATGGGGCTGGCGCCGCCGTTGGTCCCGAACGTATCGAGCCGCATCCTTCATCGACTGCTTGTGGCGACGGCGCTTGCCGTGGGCCGAAAGCTGCAACTGGTCCACCAGGTCGCGCAGGCGCTGATGCTGCAACTTGAACTCGGGGTCGTCGAAGAGATGCAGTGGGGCGCGCTGCTGGCCAGGCGCCCCTTGGCGGCGCGGGGCCGCCGAGATGATGACAGGCGCGTGGTCGCTGACCCCGCGCTCGTGCAGCACCTCTGGCACGTCGGGCGTGGCGGCCGTGATGGTGTTGCAGCGCTTGCCAGCTGGGCGTCGAGATAAAGGCCCGGTCGATCCGTGTCAACTTGGGCTGCCACTTGCTAGACGCATAGTGAGTGGGGAGCCCATTGTAAATCTCCATCGCGCGTGTGCATATGCTGCGCCAGAAACGGTCGCGCGGTCGAGCTGCCGCGCGGCCGGGGCCCCTGCGCCTGTCGACCTCAGGCGCGCGAGGGTGCATCGGCAGCTGCTTGTAGAGGTTGAAATCTCTTAGAACGAGGACTGTGACGCGACCAGGCGCCGTCTCCGCCAACATCAGGTCAGAGGAGATCTTTGTGCGAAAGGCCGCCCTGTCATCATCCGGTACGTCGAAACTGTGAACATGTTAAGCAATTTTACTGCAATCGCCTGAATTACCATCAGACGGAAGACCCGATGTCCTCAGCCGCTGGATGCGACCAGGTACGATGATGTAATGCACGAATCGAGCGCGCTGGTCCACCTCTCTGTCACAAGGCGCGACAACGGCCACTCCACCTGCGCCAATTTGGGGAAGGGATTCAACAAGTCGACATGGGACGTGCAAGCGATGGAGAGCCTGGCGCAGCCCAGCACGGGCGGCATGGACCTCCTGAGTCGCAATGACCGTGCCGCGCCGCAGAAGAGGCGCAAGGAAACCAAGCTTAAATTCTCGTACTCCGCCCCCCAGACGATTATGATGAATAAGAGCTCGAGCATTCCGCGCGCCGAAGGCCGCGAGGGCACCTGCGACGCATGCCTCCAGCGCGTCGAGCGAAAGCGAAATGGACCACTGGACCCGCTCGGCGGCTCCGTGCAACTCCCCAAAAGTATTTTTGATAGCAGACTTACCCAGGCCAAGGTCCGTGACCATGCGGTAATTCCACTCGAGCGTGGTCGGCTCCGATGGGGCGTCGGAGACGATGGGCTCGGTCACTGGCGAGGGGCTCTTGCGCGCAACTCCCTGCGCGCGATGTGCGCGCCATCGTCCCTCGTGACCTTGTGCTTTGACCAACTGCAGCAGCATCTTGGTTTGCATCTCTCGGCGCGCCACCTGCTCGCTCTTGTCCAGACCGACGAATGCAGTGGGGCGGGTCCCAGCAGGGGTCGAGCGCTCGAACCGGCGCCGTTATCCGCTGTCCAGTTTGAGGCATCGGAAAGCGCGCTGGGCCCGTCTTGCCGCCTGACCTCCGGCGCCCAGGAACTGCGGCGCGAAGCGCTGGCCAGGGCTGTCGCCAGAGAGCGCCCGCCCACTGGTCCGCAGCAAGCCCCCCGGCGTCGAGCCACGGCTGGAGGCGCTCATGAATGGCAGCCCTAGCGACAGGCTCCTTGGAGACCACGAAGATCGAGTGGTTGGGCGCTCGGGTGAAGCTCGCCATCTCCGCCGCATCGACGCTGGCGGACACGGCCTGCTCGCGCTGCAGAACGATCCGCCGCGTCTGCGCGAGGTCCGCGCGGGTGTCCCGCTGAGACTGCTTGAGCGAGTCCTGGCGGGCGCCCAGGTCCTTCGCGTTCAGCCCCGTCTCTTCGTTGAGCGCCTGCTGGCGCTCTGCGAAGTTGCGGATAGCCTTGGCCGTGCTCTCGGTGATGCCCCGCTCCATCTTGGCCGAGCTCTCGCTGGCGGGAGCGACCGCCGACTTGGAGATGTCGGCCCGCAGCTCGGACAGGATGTCGCGCAGGTCGCAGCGCATGACAGGCCGTTCGCCACGAGGGGGGCCGTCGCCAGCAGGAGAAGCAGGAGCGACAGCCGCCGCAGAAGAAACAGCATCCCGCCACGGGTCGGCCTCCGCCAGCGAGTCAACACGAGCGCCGCGGCAGGGTCTGGGGCTGCGGCTCGCTTTGACCTGCGACGCCTCGGAGTCGCCGATGTAGTGATGTCAGCATGCCTGGGAAGCACCCTTCCCGCTGCCGCCGCGCCCGCAGCTCTGAGAAGAAGCCGTGCCATTATCGCCATCTAACATCGCCGGGCGGCGCACAGGAAGACGTATAGTGAGAAGTACTGTGCGCGGACGTGGCGAGCAGCGGTGCGACCAAACGAAGGAATCCTGAGCACCGCGGGATCGCTCAAGACTGTCGATGTGCTTCCTGCTTTTTAAACCTTCTCCGCCTTGTCGCTGCGTGCGGGGCCGGACGCCAAAAGTGTGTGTGTGTGTGTGTGTGTGTGCATGTGTGTGCGCCTTCTCTTCGCCTCTCACTACGCCCGTCGGTGCTGCCCCCCGCGCGCGCTCGGCCCTCGCGGGTGGCGTTCCTGCTGCTTTCTTCGTGCTCGGTCCCCCTGCCCCCCTGCCTCGGGGCCACGGGTCCTCCGTTGCCCACGGGCGCAGCGCGTTGCGCTGCTCGCGCCTGTCCCTTCCACCGGTGGCCGCTGCGTCTGCCTTCCGGCGTGCTGGTCTTGCTGCCCGCCGTCCCTCCCCGCTTGTCTTTGGGACTGCCGCCCCAGCCTCTGTCCGGGCGAAGGCTCCTGCCCGTCCGTTGCATTCCCTGCCCTGGCAGGACGGATCGCCGGCCTTCTGCAGGAGTTTGGGACAGACTTTGCTTGCGGCTTCCGCCTTGTCTGTCTGGCCCTCCCCGGTTCCAGAGCTGGTTGGCCTTGGCCGCTTCCCGGGCCGGCCCCCCCCTTTCGCCTGCTTTTTCAAGCCGGCTTGCGGGTGCCGGCTTCGCCGGTGGGCCTGCTCGCCCGCTGGTCCGCCCCCCCCGCGGTCCCTACCCACAGGGTGCCCGGGCCGCCCCCTCGCAGGTCCATGCATCTCGGCGCTTCTTGTCGCTTCGCCTGCTGGGCCCTTCCCAACTACCCCCCGGCCCCTCCTCTGAGGTGGTCTTCTCCAACTGCTCTGTCGCCTGGAAGGTCCGCTCGATCTCTACGCGCGGCCGCCTTACTGTGCTGCCCGTCCCCAACACTGTCTGGGCCTGATCCCCCCCGCGCCGCGCAGCCGCCCCTGGCTGCTGCCCGCCCTTGGCTGCCCCGCGGCTGCCGCTCCGCCGCCCCGGCGCCGCCACTGCCGCGGCCTGGGCCCGCTCTGAGCGGGCCTGGCCTTCGTCTCCCTCCAGCCCGCGCAGGGCCTTCCGCCTCCTCCTCACGCGCATCGCGACTTAATTAGCAAATGTATGCCCTACATATGCCCTATCCTCAGCGCAGTCACTCTGCCTAGCCGCCGACGCGAAAAGTGTGTGTGTGTGTGTGTGCGTGCATCTCAACTCTTGCCAGACCGCCTTCCTCATGCCCCGCAACCTGCTGCTGGTGCTCCCTGCTGCTGCTCTGGTTCCCGTTTCCCTCATTTTCCCCCTCTCCCAGCTCGCTTCCCTCCCCTCGAGGCTTCTTTCTTTTGTCTTCCTCCACTCTCCAATCATGCGCCAAGGCCGTCCACGGCGACAGCGTAATTAACAGAAAACCGACCGAGCCGACGGCAAATCGAAGCTGACCGAAACCGACATGCGGCAAGCACCGACTGCGACGGAATCGGACCGACTGAATCGTGGCCGTTTTTGTGCACCACTGGACACTTTCAGCGAAGTCCCAAGGGCGAGACGGAGCATTCGTACACGCATAATGTAGGCACGCGAAGCCAAAACACGCTCTGGTGCATTTCCTCTATCCGTTTGTCTCACTCAACTCTCTCTTGCTCATCGTACAGCAGCAACAGAAAAGGCGCTCCCCCCCGTACTTGCCGATGGTCAAATTCGCGATGCTGTCCTCGTAACCCCGAGCGGGCTGCTGGAGTGCACCACATGCGAGATCGGTCGACCACGCATTGATCTGTTAGTGTTGTGACGATGTTTGCGAAAAGGAAGGGGCGAAGTGGACTGATGAGGAGGATTGGTCATATCGTGAGGAAGTGCGCAGGAAGGAGGGGATTCGGAAACAGTGATGAGGAAGAAAGGGGATCACAGTAGATATAGCTGTGTTCCCTTGCCATCATCGGGCAAACCTTCAGAGGACTTGAAGCCATGATCCGCGTGACCCAAACACAACACTTGCTTGGGAAAATCCTGGAGGAGAGTTGCCGTCGTCTTGAGGCTTCCAGTTACCTCCAAGCATGCATCGCCTGATCCTGTGCCCACGCCAACCAGGTTCCGTCATTTTGCCCGCGGTCATTTATCGGCGTGATTGCCCTTTTACACTCGGACCATTGGTCTGCACTTCGCGCGTGAGGACATGGACGTGTTTGATCGGTTGGTGATCCGAAGACAAAGGACAGCCGCGGTCTAATGGTAGAATTTCGCCATTGCTCATGACACGTTTGCTTCATGTGCCGCTGTAGCGCAGCAGCAACAATACGTAAGCCAAACAGAAAACTAAATGCGAAGCATCGCCATCCCCAGATCTTCAATGCACGTTGGTATTCTCCCACTCATCAAACGAATGAGCGGCCTGACTCGAACTCACCCCAAGGGTTGCGGCCAGTAGCGCCCGGTCACATGCCCACCACAGCAATCGCCGCGGTCGAAAACCCAGCTGCCATCTTCTTTGCGAGGGCAGCGGATATCCCGAACTGCTCGCAAAGGAGAGTTCGCTGGGTGGTAATGTGCAGAGTCCTCAACTCCGGCGTCCCTGTCGGCGTATGTGAGGGGCGTTTCCTTTCGAGGCTCCTCCCCCTGTGGCCACCTGGCATCCCCCTCCGAAATGGCCCGAACGAGCTCCGAGAAGCCGCCAAGATGGCCCAAGACGGTTCCACCATACCCGACGACCGCCAAAGTGCAAGAGGGTCAAGAGACGAAGGCGGGGACAATTCCCAGAACGGTTCGCTGCAGGTCTCAGGCTTCCACGGTCTTGGGCCAATGCGGGCAATATTGGGACCATCTGGGCCAATTGGGACCCACTCTGACCACCTTCGGCCACACCAAGCAGGGGATACCTCAAGCCCCCACCAGCCCAGCGGGCGGGGAACCAGAAGCTCCTGAACAAGGTGGTAGGCCCTTAATTGAATGGTATAAATTGATACCCGAATATGGCCGAACATGCAACTATTTCTCAGGAATTGCACAGAAACCAAAAGGATTCCAGAGAAGGTTCCTGGCAATGTCCTTCTAGTCTCCGTGTTTTCCCGTGGATCTTCTTATGGACCGAACGCGAACACATAGTTTCGCCAGGGGCATCCCCACCCGCGCGCTGACATTGGCTCAAATCTATTGTTTTGTTGGCCAAATTTCCCCCCAAACCCTCGGTTCAACTCGATTCCCATGGTGTTTCTTCGCGGAGCTGATCAAAGATGATCTTCATTATTGCGTCGGGCGTCCTCGCAGAGATCAAAGTGCGTCACAGCTGCGCTGGCAGGATCCCCCCGTGCAGACACCACGGCCTTTTTCATCGCCACGTCCGTATCTGATTCGGCTCGGACGACGCAAGCGCCAATGAAGCTCGCTCTGAAACAGTGACGCGCTCGAGCAAAAAAAAAAACGCCAGCTCGAGCCGCAGTGGCTGCGAAATCCAGCGAATTCCCAGGGGATGGCCCAAACACCGAAAACATGTTTCCCCTGTCTGACGGGGCCAGCGTCGGCCAACCTGGGGCCCAACCCTGTGCCACATTCGGGCTGCTTGGCAGCTGGCCGGGCCAGCCCGCGCCACAGCTGCTACCTTCTTTGCTACGCCCTTGCTCCCCCCTTGGCTCCTGGTGCCCTTGCAACTGTGTGCCCTGGTCTTGCAGTGCGACTGGATCATGCGGATGCACGGTGACGGCGCGGGGCCCTTGGACAGCCAACTCGAGGCCGAAGCTAGAAGCCCGAGGCCCAAGGGCACGACCAGACACGTTTGCTCCACGTGTCGCGGCGGCGGTGCCAGCGGCCCGCTGTGCCCTGCGAGCTGACAGCGTGTCGAACCGCTCCGCGGGAGGCCATGAAAGGCTCGGGACGGTGACGCTTTAGTGTGTCGCGACGCGGCGTGGTGGGCCAGAACTGGCGGCGCCAGGATGGGCCGAGAGGCAAGGATGCAGGGGTACCCACCTGTCGGAACAAGCGGGCAGAAACATGAAGCAGGAAAGCGTTCAAAGTAAGTTGGGTTTCCGCACGCCCCGTGAAGAGGAGGCAAGAGGGAACACCGCTCGACTCTTGAATTGGGAAGGCGCAGAAATCCCAACAACCCTCTGAGCGTGAGTGGCTTAGAGCGTTTACTTTTCCAATCCCCCTTCTTCCCGGGTCGGGGTGTATCGCTGTTTCCGATTAGAAGGAAACCCTTCTCCGGGCGACCGGTAGCCAACCAGGACCACTGCCCCCCCACCATCCCTTTCGAAATACAATGCAGAATGCACTTTGGGACAACATCTGGGGTCATGCTCGTCGGCCCCGCGAGCACTGTGTATCGTTCTTTGACAGGGACGGCGGGGGCGATCTCGTATTGTCTGCTGTGCGCAAGGCCTGCATCCATGCCAACAAAACTACAAGATACACTTCGCGGCTAAATCTGGATCATATGCTGCCACCCCGCGGTCACTGTCCAATGGTTTTTGATACGGACGGCGTGGGTGCTGGCATATTGCCTGCTGTGTGCAGGCCCACCATACACCATGATGGCCTCCCCGCCGCGATTGTGCATTGGTTTTCGAGAAGGATGGTTGGGGCCGACATGTTTCCCGATGTGTTCTGTCACGTGCGCGGGCACACCTGGCACATTCTGCGCGTCCCGAGCGTGGCGCACCTGGCGCGGTTGGACCATTCGGCACACATGGCGCACATGGAGCATGTGAAGTATCTGGGGCGCCAGGTGTGTGCCTGGCACGCCTCGGCCCCTGGTGTGCCTGGCGCACCTGGCGCGCCTGTCGCGCGTGGCGCACCCTGACCCAACGTCGCGCACATCGGGTTTGTTCTGGCTTCCAGTAGCTTCCCATCCATGGACGACCGCAACACATGGTGAGTCTCGGGTGTTACTTCTGTGTTTGGGAGGGCGGGTGGGAGTGCACGAGGCAGCTCGCGGGCGGGGGGAACGTCTTGACCCCTCCACCAACCCCCTTCCCTTGTCCTGGACGGAACGCCCCGCGACCCATTGGAGCCTCTACATCTAAGATTGTCTCGGCGAGGAGGCGAACCTCATATATTCTATGTTTGTTTTGGGACTACTTTGGCCTCCTTGGGGGGGGGGCCTGATTGAGACCCCCCTCCTCTTTGTTCGATCCCCTCCAAGGTGGTCCCTAAATGGCCGCCGTGGCTTCCAAGTGTGCCCCAAGAGGCGCCCAGGAGGCCCCAAGAGGCCTGCAAGAGGTCCCCAAGAGGCTCCCAAAAGGCGCCCAGGAGGCCTCAAGACGTTCCCCCGAGGCACCCAAGACGCTCTAAGAGGCCCCCAGGACCGCCAAGAGGCTCCTAAGGCGCTCCCAAAGGACTCACAGAAGCTTTCAAGGGACATCCAAAGCGACTCCGAGAGGAATCCAAGAGGCACTTAAAAGGTCTCTGGCCATTCTGCTCGCCCTCCTCCTCACCTGTCTTTTCCTCCTGCTCCTCCTGCCTCCTCCCTCCTGCTCTTCTCCTCCTCCTCCTACTCCTCCTCCTCGTCCTCATCCAATTCCTCTTTCATCCTCCCCCTCTTGGGGTATGACGGCTTCCCCGACCACTTATTTCACTGCGTGCTTCTCTATATCCATGACAAGGGCAACTCGTCTGGACATCGTTTCTGGATGGGCTGGTGGGGTTACGCGACGCGGCTCGAACAATAACAATACGATCAGAAAGAATAGGGAGGAAGGGGGATGATGGCAGGACGAGGACAAAGGAAGACTGCTGCGCCCTGAGCGCCGTCTGCGATGACTTTCAGCGCGGGGGGGCGTTCAGACGAAACCCTGATCGGGGCCTTCCTGCACCGCGGCATGGCCGCGGGCAGTTCGCAGCGTGCTCGGGTGCTCCAACCCTAGCGGCTGCGCTTCTTGGCCACATGTGCCTGCATCTGGAGCAGGAAAGCCCTGCCATGCTCGTGTCGTGAAAATGCCGCCCCATTTGTTGCGTGTTTGTTTGTTTGCGTGTTTGCTTGTTTGTTTGTTTGTTGCTTGTTGGTGTCGTTGCTGTTGTTGTTGTTGTTGGTGGTGGTATTATGGATCTTGCGGTTGCAGTTGTTGTCGTTCTCGTGGTCGTTGTTGTTGCTGCTGTTGTTGGTGTTGGTGTTGGTGTCGTCGTCGTCGTCGTCGTCCTCGCCGTCGTCGTCGTCGTCCTCGTCGTCGTCGTCGTTGTCGTTGTTGTTTGTTGTAAGTGCTGTTGCTGCTGCTGTTGTTGTTGCTGGCTTTGTTGTTGCCGTTGCTTGTGCTTGTGCTTTGCTGTTGCTGCTGTTGGTGTGGTTGAGTTCTCATTTCTACCAAACGAATTCTCAAGGGAAAGCTTGGTGTCACCAACATGTGCCCCTGGCCCCCAGTTTACAACAACAGCGGCTCCCGCCTGATACTTCCTCACAATGTATCACCCAGTCGCGCTCTCGCGCGGGACGTCCTCACAATTTATGCAGGAATCGCGCTCTCGCGTGAAAACGTTTCGTAATTTACTCAGGCGCCGCACCCTCGACACTCAGGAATCATGATCTCGCCCTGCTCTTTCTCACGATTTAATTGGGCATCGCGCTGTCGCTCGCGACCTCGCGATTCATGGAAGACTCACGCTTCAACAACCCGCCTGCTCGATCTGGCCGCCTGGGCCCGCCTTCCCGGCCCGCCCGTTAGGGTTTACTCGCCCGATTTGCTCGTTTGGTTCTGCCACGTGTTTTCTGCTCCTAGCGCCCCTC